CTCTCTCTCTCTTTCTCCCTCCCTTCCCTCTCTAAAAATAAACAAATAAAATCTTAAAAAAAATGTTTGCCTTTTCACCTCTTAGGGCTTGAGACAGACCAAGGTGTCCTTGTGGACAGCTGCCTGTGTTTATCTGGCCGTGTTTCAGGGCAGAAGAAACTCGGCTGATTGAATACCACCTCTCAGATCGGGAGCCAAAGGGAGATCTGTGGGCACTGACTCCTTGGACTGAAACAGTTGGTCTGGGCACTGGGGATGTCAGCACTCTGGCCGTGCTGATCATTAACCAAGCGCGCGAGGTCAGCGAACAGCAAGGAGCTAGTTGGAGAGGCTTGAGCGCCAGACAGGGTCGTAACGGACACCATACCTGAGCTGGAATCACGTAATCAGCCACATCCCAGATCCGGAATCCTAGTTTGGAAGTGTTGGTCACAGTCACGCCCTTGGCTTTGGTAGTAATTGAGCTGACCACAGAGTCCACTTCCTGGTAGCCCTTTTCCCACACAAACACCCACCTACAAAACAAAACAAAACAAAACAAAACAGGCCTCTTGAATTGCTGTTAGGGTTTGGTGAGTTTGAACTGACACTAGGGAGCCTCTGCTAGTCAGAAGCTGCAAGTTCCACGTTCACTAATTATGTGACTTTGCAAAAGCCACCTAACTTTTTGAGGGTGGTGGTGGTCGCGGCGGCGGCTCCATTTCCACTTCTGCAAAGAAGGCATAATAGCACCTCAACCACAGGGTGGTTTGTGGCAAATTAATGAGACGATGGCAGTAGAGTGCCCAGCACTGGGATCTGCACGGAGAAAATGCTTGGTTAATGCTGTCTTATTAGCTACTTGAGCAATTTCAGTGCACTGTGACCTGCAGAATCACCAAGACAGCACAAAAATTATCATCATAACAGTTACCATTTGAGTGTTTTTAGGTGCCAGGCACTGATCTAAGCTCCTTATGTGTATTAACTAACTTAATCCTGACTGCTGTGTAAGACAAGTGTCCATTATTAGCTCCATTTTACAGAGAAGGAAACTGAGACACAGAGAGGTTAAGTCACTTGGCCAAAGTCACACAGCTAGTGAGTGGCATAATCAGGATGTGACCCCGAGCCTTCTGCCTCTGAAGCCTCTTCTCTTGACCTCTATGCTGTACTCCTTCTAAAACAAGATACACCTTTCAAGTAACTTCTTATAGTAATTTGCATACTTTCCTCCAAGAATGGAAGGCACATGTCTGCTTCTTTCCTCTGAAGTGGGGACATTAATATCAGTTTGGATAATTAAAAACATAAAGGCATCCCTGGCTGGCGTAGCTCAGTGGATTGAGCGAGGGCTGCGAACCAAAGCATCGCAGGTTCGATTCCCAGTCAGGGCACATGCCTGGGTTGCAGGCCATGACCCCCAGCAACAGCACATTGATGTTTCTCTCTCCCTTTCTCCCTCCCTTCCCTCTCTAAAAAATAAATAAATAAAATCTTAAAAAAAAAACCCCGTAAAGGCATCAGTACATAGTGGTTAGGACACCGGAAAACTGACCGAAGCCAGCTGATCTCCGGAACGTGTCTCAGCTCTACTACTCACTAGGCATCACTCTGGCTGAGTCGCTTCAGTTTTCCCGTCTGCAAGATGGGGATGATAACAGGACTCCACAGGATTGTTGCTGTGAGGTTTCATCAGTTAAGGCATGCCAGATGCTTAGGACAGTGTGTGTGAGTCACCACCAACAGGCCGAACTCGCCACGACGGGAATGTCTGCACCATGGAAACGGGCCGATGCTACAAACCAGAACTCCTCCCCACCAGAGCTACTGCTAAACACCTACCAGTGGCTGTTATTGTTATATTTTTCTAGAATCGAGAAATGCTAGCATCCTTCTCTCCTCCTCATAAGCTCTAGATGCTGAGACTTCAGAAATTCACCAGTTTTAGTGACTTAGAGGTCCTTCTCATCTGAGCAGTCTCCAAATCCATCTCCCACCCTAGAGAGGAGCTCTTCCCCTAGCAAGTCCTCTTCTTCGGGGTTCCCGGGAATCCAGCTGCAGCAGAAGCTTCCATTCAATTCTAGTCAGACATACTGAAGCTTAGTTCAGGAAGGTCACTACTGTTTTACCATTGGTTCAATAAATTGCTAAAGAGATGCAGTGTCCCAACATCATTATGTGATTTAACTGTTTCCTCATCCTGTGACTTAGAATTAGATAACAGAAATGCATGTTCAGTCTCTTTTTGTTCAGAAGATTGCTATGGGTCACGAGGGAAAAAAAGACCACAATTTCACCCTGATGAATTGGATCAGGACGTTAAGAAATTAGGTCTTTTGCCCTGGCTGGCATAGCTCAGTGGATTGAGCGCGGGCTGTGAACCAAAGCATCGCAGGTTTGATTCCCAGTCAGGGCACATGCCTGGGTTGCAGGCCACGGCCCCCAGCAACTGCACATTGATGTTTCTCTCTCTCTCCCCCTCCATTCTCTCTCTAAAAATAAATAAATAAAATCTTTAAAAAAAAAGAAATGAGATCTTTTTACAATCTCTTAATTTGAATCCAGAGTCAGTTTTGATCATGGCGAGATGGATAAAAGTGAAGCACTTATTGCTTAAAAAAAAATCCTCATGATGAAGGGAGGGAACACGTCCCAGGGACTCTAGAAAGACGTGCTGCCCCAAAGAAATATAACACGAGCCACGTATAAAGTTTAAAAAACTGTAGTAGCCCTGTTCAAAACCAAAAAGGGGTGAAATTAATTTTAATGATATATTTTACGTAACCCAATCTGTTTTCACATGTTATGAATATGAGGTTATGAGTGTGATATTTTACGGAGGTATTTTCATGCTATTTCTTCAAAACCCAGTGTGTACTTTACAGTGATAGCACGTCTCAATTTGAAGGGCGAACATGTCAAGTGCTCAACAGCCACACGGACTAGCGGCTCCCGAATCGTGCAGCCCAGACACAGTACTCCCCCCTTCTCTGCTGGGGACATGGTCTCAGACCCCCAGGGGATGCCTGAAACTGCAGGTCGCTTCCAAACCCTGTTTATACTGTGTTTTTTTTTCCTACACAGACACACCTGTGGTCAAGTTTACTTATAAATTCGGCGCAGCAAGAGATTAACGATGACTACTAATAAAACAGAGCAATTCGAACAATAAATATACTGTGATCAGAGTCACGTGAACGCGGCCACTCTCTTTCCGGTAACTGACCGGATGACCGGGAAGGCTGCGCAGTGACCGGTGGGAAGCGGGAATACGCAGCCGGGCAAGGGCAGGACCACGTCTCACGTGGGATGGCGCCAGGACGCCTTGGGATTTCATCGTGCTGCCCAGAGTGGCGTGCAAGTTAAAACACAGGAATTGCTTTTTCTGAAATTTCCCATTTAATATTTCCACACCTTGGCACTAAAACTGTGGGGAGCAAAACTGCGGATAAGGGGGGACAGACTCTATACCACGTGCAGTCTAGAACCTCACAGATACCCGAGGGTAGATACCAACTGACCTTCCCGCGAGCAGCAGGGGCAAAGAGGGAAAAGCTGCGAGAGAGCTTGATTCCAAAGGCTTCAGATCCAGCCCCGCCCCGGGGAGTTCAGTTAACCAGGTAAGTGTCACCTTTCAAAATGCAGGATGCATCACAATGACTGCAGGGGGTGGGGTGAGGAGTTCCTGGTGGAACTTCACGGGCCTGAGTCCAAACCTGGGGGTGGGTTAGGTAGTCCTGGTGTAGATAACACACCTGGAAAATCATTTTACTGAGTACTGTCAGTCCCTGCGGCTGCTGGGCTGCTAGAGGTCGGAGGTCAACCTGTCTGATCATGCAGATTCCCTGGGCAGGGCTAACAGATTCCAAGCCCCACCCCGGGTTACTTTAAAACAATTCCTCAGGGTGAGTCTTTCATGATCAGGTAGATTCGGGCAACACTGGGACACTAGTCCCCAAACTTGGCTGCCCAGCAAAACCTCCTGGGAGCGGGTCTTACTCTCCAGCGATGACATCAGAAGGCCTGGGGAGGGGAGCCAGCACTCCGCGTTTTTTAAAAATGCCCAAATGGTCGCACGTGCAGTTTGGGGACCGTTGCATTAGGCCTTTTAAGAAAAAAAAAAAAATGACAAAGCAGATCACATCTGTCAGCTCAGCGCTGTCCACACCGTAACAGCTGGACCCCAGTGGACCTTGGAACCAGGCCCAGCTGGTAACTTCATTTCCACCTCCTCCAGTTTTATTAGATTGGAAGGGGCGCATTCAATTAAAACCCAACACTTGGTGGCGGCTGGGCCGGTTGGGCATATCTGAGCAAAGCGGGCAACACGGAGAGTGACGAACCAACCCCCTAAGACGAGGGAAGTGGACGTTAAGTGCTTTTTGCAAGCGTGACCTCCACTATCTTGAATTATCACATGGTGTAAGGGACAGGGCCGGAAGCCACAGAAGCGAAAGGAACCGAGTGGAAATCCCAAACCCTGATTTCTGCCAGCAGATCCTCGGATGGGAAGTGAGTAACACAGGCAGGGACGTTGAGGCCGAGCGCCCCCCCTCCCCCAGCCAAAGGCCATCCCGGAGCCAGGTAGAATGACTAGAGGCAGGGAAGGAGAGGAGGAGGGTCTAGCCAGGGTCTGCCCTTAAAACACACCATCAAAGCAGCCTCCTGCCCGGAGCCCGGCCCCCCGCGGCTGGGGGTCCGGAGGGGTGTGTCCCGGCCTCGGGTCGCTGCTCCTGGACCCTCCCTGGGGGGCGCCCGCCGGGCTGCCCCGGTGACCTGGGCCAATCGGGGCAGGTGCACGGCCAGGACCCGGATGGGGCAGCCCCCGACCGCCGGGCGACCCCAGGTCCCCGACCCCGCGGGGTCGCGCCCCCGACCGCGCTCACCCGATGACGTAGGCCAGGATGAGCAGCTGCACGGTCCGGTTCATGAGCCCCACTTTGCGGCTGCGGATGAGCACGATGCGCGGCGTGTCGTACTCGAAGAGGAAGGCCCCCAGCACCGAGCAGCAGCCCGCCATGGCCGCGCCCGCGCCCGCGCCGCCACCTCTGCCTCCGCCGCCGCCGCCGCCGCCGGGCTCCGCGCTGTGCGGCCGGCCGGCTGCCCGCCCGCCCCTCGCCCCGGCCGCCCGGGAGCCCCGCCCAGGCGGCCCGGCCGGCCCGCGGCGCCGTCCTCCGCGGGGGAGGGCCCGGCACAACGCGTGACCTGCCCTCGGGTACGAGGGCCGCCCCGGGAGGCTGGGCGGGGGCGGGGAGGGGTGGCGCGGGGAGGGCGCCGGGCGCGGCCCCGCCCCTCCGCCGGAGCCGGAGCCGGAGCCGGACCGGGGCCGGGGTCTGGGGGGCCCTCAGCGGGGCTGTGGGGAACGAGGGGACCGTCTGAGGGGAGAGGGGCCTTCGCGGAGAGACCGCCTCCCCTGGGCGAGCGCCCCCCCTGGGGGCCCGCGGGGCAGCTTAGGTGACGGAGCCCCGGACCCCGCGGTCCACAGCCGGGGCTCGCCCTGCGGGGGCTCAGCCTCTAGGGGCGACGCCTCAAGCCCGGGGGCCCGGGGGGCCGGGGGGCCGGGCCGCGGGAGGGGGCGGCCGGCCCGCCGCTGAGAGGGCTCTCTCCACACTGCAGGGAGGACGGGAGACCAGGGGGACAAGGAGGAGGCGCTAGTTCGTGCCCTGCAGGTACGTGTCACGCGGAGCGCCGGCCCCGCGTCCGGCGGGAGCCGCTCGGCGCCTTCCCGGGGCCGGGCGCCGGCCGGGCTGCCGCCGCCGCGGAGCGCACGTGCCGGTGCGTCACTGCGCGGAGGGGCCCAGTTCGTCTCGCAGTCGGCGGTGCCCCGCGCGGCCGCGGACGCATCGCAGTAACCATCGCAGTAACCATCGCGGCGCGTCTGCGGGCGGGCGGGCGGGGTCTCGAGGGCGTGAGCTTCGGCCTCCCCAGCCGCTCTCCGGGGCTGGCTTCCGCGTGCAGGTCCCCCGCAGCGCGCTTGGTAGTGTGAGTTCACTTCTTGGGTGTGAGATGTCCTGAACCACCCCCGCTTGGTTTTTCCAAATATAAAAGGTTGAAGAAGACAATGTGCAACCTGACGCGGGTATCTGGAGTGCCCACGTTAATGGGAAATCTTAAAAGAATTATTTTAACTTTAAAAAGTGGAACACATTTAAAAAAAAAAAGGAAAGGAAATTTGCAGAAAACAGGCAGCCTCTGTCTGTAGAGGTGAGACTGTTGAGTTAGAGAGCGGAGCACAGTCGCCACCTGCCTCCGTCCCAGAGTGGTCCCAGGAACGGGTGGGGCAGGACAGGTACTTCTGTGGGCCCCTCGTGTGCTTGGCGGTGTTCTTGATGCCCCGGAGGGGAGGGTGAGCAGGCAGGCGGAGTCTCTGCCGAAATGGAGCTTGGTGCCGGTTGGAAAGGGAAACTTCTCTTAACTTCTCGCTGGGTGGGGAGTTAAATATACTTTTCCTTAAGCGTCAAAACACATTTCCAGCTCTCGTGAACTCTTATCCCACAGTGATGAGTTGGTCCCAGCCTTACAAATATTGAATTCAAATCGTCTGCTTGCATTTTGGAATAAAGTCTGTTGAGAGACATGTAGAAGTGTTACAGGAGAAAGTCGGTTCTTATTGCCCGTGCAGTAAAGAATTACAGACCCGCCAGCCCGTGAGCGAGCAAGCAGGGTTTATGAGCGGCGCATTCTCTTGGAGGAGAACATTCGGGGCAGGGCAAGGTAAAGGCAGCAAGAGTATCCTCTCCTTTGTCTCGAGGACTTATGTACTTGGTGGGATGGGATAAGGGAGTTACATATTGATTGGTGGGTAAAGGTGGCACCAGCTTCTCCCGGGGATGTGACTGACTACCCAAACGTAGGTGTGTGTGTGTGTGTGTGTGTGTGTGTGTGTGTGTGTGGTCTGTTAGCCCAGAATTCTCATCTTGCCCCAGACCCCATTTGTTCATCTTGTTGTGAAACAGATATGTGACAGAGGGCAGTTCATTAAAGTTGAGGCAGTTCCCCAAAGTTGTTTATGGGCTCTTTCTATAAGCACTAGGGACCCCCTGGTAAAACAGAGTGACCCAGAGGTAGGCAGTTAACCAAAGCTGCTTTTTGGGCTGCTGCTGCTTTAGGCACTGTGGATCTCCACTTCTTCCCCTTCTGGATGTTGGGGCGGATACAGTGTTTCAAAGGCTTTCTTTACCAGAGAATGGGAACAGTACACAGAATTTCAGGGGCTCCCCTCCTCCCGTGCTAGCATGGTGTTTCTTATGATGTTGGGAACGCCTGGCAATATTATCGGACCAGGCTCGGAGCTGCTGAGTTAGTGGGTGAGACCCGTCTCCCTCCTGCTCCCTGCCTTGGTTTGCTGTCTATCTTACCTAAGAGCAGTACCAGTTTTCCTAAATTACTAGTCAATGTTACATCCTTAGGCCCAAGCAGAGCAACAGATCCTGAAAATTGATTAGGAAAAGAAGTTACTTCATTTACTCTCTGGCTCCTAGGTTGTGTCTCTTTAAAAATAGATTTCTTGGGCCTGGTAACTCAGGTGGTTAGAGTGTCGTCCAGATACATCAAGGTTATGGGTTTGATCCTCGGTCAGGGCACATACAAGTATCAACCAATGAATACATAGATAAGTGGACCATCTATGGTTTGTTGATGTTTCTCTTTCTCTCTCTCCAATCAATTAAAAAAAACAGCAACAGATTTCTTGTGGCATAATTGACATGCAATAAACTGCACATATTTAAAGGATTCAATTTGATAAGTTTGACTACATATACATCCATAAAACCATCACCGTGGTCAAAATAGTGAATATATCCAGTGTACTGACCAGAATAATCCTAGAGCCTATGTCAAATGAAAGTAACTGATGATTACATTTTGGGCTTTTCACACACACACACACACATACACACACACCCCTTAACCACATTCAGTTGTGTATTTGTCATTGTATGCTTGGCTGAGTGCAGTCGGTTATTGAGCAACTAAGGGGATTTAGTTGAAAAACAAATAAGATTTGGTATAAAAAATAAATAAGGTACCCAGACAGTTCATTGAGGAAACAACAGTCTTTTCAACAAGTGGTGCCGGAGCAACTGGGCATCCACGTGCAGAAGGATGGAGCTGGACTCCTACTTCCTACCACGTATAAAATTAACTCAAAACAGATCAGAGACCTAAATGTAAGAGCTGAAACTATTAAGACTCAGATGAAAACATAAGTGTAAATCTTTGTGAGTTTGGATTAGGCAATGGTTTTTATTATTTATTTACTTATTTATTTATTTAGATATGGCACCTAAAGCACCCATGACAAAAGAAAAAAAATAGATAAATTGGACTTCTTCCAAATGAAAACTTGTGGGTCAAAGGACACCATCAGAAGGGTAAAAGGACAATCACAGAACGGGAAAATTACTTGCAAATTGTATGGCTGATAAAGGTCTGGTGTCTCAAATATCTAAAGAACTCTTACAACTCGTCAATAAAATGACAACCCATTTAAAAATGGTCAAAAGATGTGAGTGGACATTTCTACAGAGCAGACACAGAAATGGTCAGTAAGGATACGGAAACACGTTCAGTCTCATTAGTCACTCGGGAAACGCAGGTCAAAGTCACAAAGAGATACTTCATCCCACTACCGTGGCTATAATCAAACCGACAGTCAAAAAGATGGCAAGGCTGTGGATGAGTTGGAAACCTCACACTGCTGGTGGGAAATATAATACAATGGTGCGGCCACTTGGAAAACAGTTCGGAAATTCTTCAAAGTGTTAAACGTGGAATTACCTACATTGACCTAGCAGTTTCATTCTTAGGCAAATACCCAAGAGAATTCAAAAAATGTGTTCGTGCAAAACCTTGTACATGAATGTTCATAGTGGCGTTATTCTTAATAGCTAACAAGTGGAAGTAACATAAATATCAATCAAGTGATGAGTGGATAAGTGAAATTGATCTATTCATACAATGGAATATTATTTAGCTATAAAAAGGGATACATCTGATACATGCTACAACATGCCTGAACCCGGAAGGTGTTGTGCTGACTGAAAGAAGGCAGACACAGAGGTCACGCATTGTGTAATTCTGTTTGTACGAAATGTCCACAACAGGCGAATCCGTGGAGACGGAAAGTAGGGAAGTGGTTTCCAGGGGCTGGGGGAGGAGGAAGTGGGGTGTGATAGCTAATGAGGGTGAGGTGTGAATTTGGGGTGATGCAAATGTTCTGGAAATTTCCTTGCAGAACCCTTGTGAATATACTGAAAGTCACGGAATTATACATTTTAAAAGGGCAGATTTTGTGGTATGAGAATTACGCATCAAACTTTACACCACAAAATAGTGGGGCTAAACCTCCTGTTGTGTCTTCCTAGGGGAGCTCCTCGGGCCCTCACACGGAGCGTTCTTGTATTTTAGATGAAGTTCCAAGTCTGGCTTATTTGGTATCCTTTGTCCCGTGTTAAGTGAGCTCACTCACTGTACTGTTCTTCCCCTAAAGACTGCGCTTTCTCAAATAAAGTGCTTCCCAGACAAGGTAAAGCTAAAGGAGTTCATCATCACCAAGCTCTTACTATATGAAATGTTAAAGGGACTAATTAAGAAAAAGAAGATCAAAACTACGAACAGTAAAATGACAACAAACTCACAGCTATCAACATCTGGATCTAAAAAAGCAAACTAAGCAAACGACTAGAACAGGAACAGAATCATAGATACGGAGATTATTTGGAGCGTTATCAGCGGAGAGGGGGAGGGGAGAGAATGGGGAAAAAGTACAGGGATTAAGAAGCAGAACTGGTAAGTACAAAATAGGGGGAGGTTACAAATAGAATAGGAAATGGAGAAGCCAAAGAACTTATATGCACGACCCATGAACATTATTGGGGGGTGGGGTGGAGAGAGAGCTGGATGGAAGGGGGTTACCCAGCAGAAGGGGGCAAAGGGGGAAAATTAGGACAACTGTAGTAGCATAATCAATAGAACATATTAAAAATAAAAACTACTCTTCCTCATAGACATGGTCCCAGCAGCTGTTTTTATACCATGTGACCTTATCAATTGAACCATGGGCCTAACCCGCCCCAAACAGGGTCAGCCGGGTTGTCTCCTCGGGGAGGGTTGTCTCCTCGGGGACGGTTGCCCTGGGAGAGAGGCAGCGCCCTGTTCTCTGCAAGGGACTGGAACTGAACGGAAGAACCTCAGGGGCTGTGGCAGAGTCGCCTTGGTGGGAGAGCCAGAAGGGGACTGTGCAGAACCATCGAATGACCCAGAAGGACAAAGGGACACGGAGGTGAGAGAGACTAAGACAATGGCCTCTGGATTGTACCGTTTCTACTTCCTGGTGCTACCCCTTCTGTTCGCCTTTGCCCTTAAGATACCCCCATAACCGTATAGTAAACGTGTATTTTTTTTCCGTGAGCTGGTGGGCTTCTGAAACTTGGAAATATGAAAGTACTTTGGTTATGGTGCTAGGTCCCAAGAGATGAAAAATATACCGTCACCAGTAACGTGGGCGTTAAAACAAGTGTTGGTACAGGTGCAGCCAATTACGAGGTGGGAGGCACCGCCTGAGGCTGCCAATATTAAGAGCAGGAAGAATAGCCCATCAGAAGGAATAAGTCCCTGTAAGAGGCAGAGCCAGGAACTCCAAAACGCTCATCAGCCTGGGACCATTTATTGTAGTTGAGAGGCCCGCAGCGGCCAACTCCAGTGTGCCTTAGGGAGTCGTTTGGTCATAGTGTGGTAAGAAGGACGTTTGTCACAACGCCCCTGAGCCATGAAAGGCCAGTCAGATGAAGCAGTGTCCCGTGTTCAGGGCAAAATGTTTAAGTTCAATGCTCAGACGCTGAAAGGTGTA